GTTTCGCATGCAGGTACCACAGAAGCGACACGGGATACTGTGTTCATGAGAAATGAGAGGGCTTTAACGATTCTGTGCTTTTTCCAAAACACTCCCTCTCTCCCTTGCCTCCTTCTGTTTTTCTCTGCATCTCTCTCTCTCTGTGTCTGTCTTTCATTTTGAATCTATAAATAGCGCTTTCGCTCTCATCTTTCTGATTAATTGGAAGTTGTGTGAGGGACGAGGCTTGATGTTGTTTGTTCTGTTTCAAGAGAACTCAAAAGACGTTGTGCTATTCATCAGAGGAAGTGATTGACTTGACAAAGTATTTTCTAAGTGATTCTCATTGTTTTTTCTTTTCTGTGACATTCACAGTCATGCCTCCAGTTGTCTTTTATATTTCATCCCCTTAAAAAGCAATTTTCTATTTCATCTTATAAAGCAGTTCATCGTGCCTTTGACTACAATTACATCCAGACAAGCAGCCTCATCCAGGCAAACGTTTTCCCTCTTTTCCTGGAGAGTTACAATTTTCGGAAGAACAGCATAGCGGCAACAGAGAGAAGATGAAAAAGGCAGTTCAGCTCATGTACATCCATGACAAAGACCGAGCCAGATGAGAGCTCCTCTGCTCCCCACATGTGGCCGAGCGAGTCGGGTCTCACAGAGTGTGTGAAGACAGCTAGAAAATTCCCTCGAGCCCGGTCTAATTGAAAGCTTATCATCTTCTCTTTCTGCTTCCTGAGCGTTCAGCGAGGAGCGACGCAGAGAGCCACTCTGTGATGAGACCTGGAGAAAATAGTTGGGAATGTTTAAAATGGTGCAGATCTGTCATACGCTCACACTGTGAAGTGGAGCTCAGACTGTCTGGGTGGAGGCTGGTGTGAGATCTGTCAGCAGGGGATTGTGTGTATGAGTTTCTTGTGCGTGCGTGGAAATGCTTTGAGTGTGCAGAGTTAATTGAATACAGTGTGTATCAAGGCTGCGTGTGTGCGTCCTAAGGCTTTGTTGTTCTGCCAACACTGCCCCCATAGAAGGCCTGACGCACAGTAGAAACCATACAGAAAGGAGGAAAGAAAGGAGAGAATTGAATGAGAAGAAAGGATAAAAGAGAAAGGAAAGGGCATAGATAAAGGAGAGTATAAACAGGGAGAATAAAAGTGAAAAACTGAAGGAGAAAAACAAAGCATTTAGAAGTGAAAGCCCTTTCATGACACATCAACAGGTGGCATTAGTTTAAGAGTGAGGAATTGTGGGTATTGTATTTCAGGTTAACCACATGAGACATCTAAAATCAGACCACCCCACAAGGTAGCATCTCAAGTGTTTAATCTTGAAATCGGCACTGCATAAATTAACATCCACATAGCTGGTAAAAAAAAAAAAAAAAAGAGGGTTGACATTCCAAACTTCTCCTGTATTGTTTTTAACAAGTGACAACTTGCCGACATGCGCTAACATGGAGGCTGCCAGGGCGGAGCTGGATTCCTGAGCAGCGCTGTATTTACACTCTGGGTACCACCGTGTTGATAGCTGAGGAGAAGCGTGGGTAATTGTCAGTGAGAGTCTCTCTAATGGGAAAGAAGAGTGTAATTATTAAAGGGGGTTATTGGGAATGAACGGGCAGGGCTATGAGGTGGAGGCGGTGGCATGTGCGGTATTTACTGTATGAGGCGAAAGAAGAAGTCAGAAGAACAGAATTTGTTGGATCAGACTGTGCTGGCATGAAATTAGGTCCCATGAACATTTATGGTGTTTTGTTTTCTCCCCCCGCTCGTTTGTCAGCTGATGTGAAGGTTTCTGGAGATGAATTATAACCTGTGCCTCCATGTTTAACGTTTTCACTCTCAACACCTCCCCCTTTTAAACCATAAAAGACCTCACAAGCCAGACTTTTCAGCATTGAGTTTCAAAATTAGAGAACTCTTTATAGTGAGGAAGTGTTTTCATAGTAAGGCGAATAATGTTGAAGAATGTGACTGTAAATATTGAAGCTAAATCTAATGTGGGTGTGATGTTCTCAAAGGGGCAAGTGGGACCTTTAAGTTTAAAGAAAATGATGTGTTGCCATAGTGATATCCTGGAGTTCCTTTAATTAAAATTTATTTTTTAATAATAATGGCATTTTTAATGAAATGAACAGTAGTTGTGAAGGCAAAAGTGAGACACATGTTTTTTAATTAAAATGGTTAAAAACTACATTATCCGCAAATTGTACAAGCACTCAATATGGAAACATTAATGATATTAATACATACATAGATGAGATTCTTAAATTAACATATCAGTTTCAGATGTACATGCTTTGAGCATAAAGAGAAATGAAGACAGCAAGAGGACTTTACATTTTGATATATGAAAAGGAAAAAGGGGATTCTTTTAAAAAAGAAATATAAGAAAATGTAACATTGTGCTCTTTAATCCAATATACAGTCAAATACAATTCGGTTGTACATTTTTGGCTTTCTAGTTTTGCATAAAGAATGATATCAAGACATGATTCATTTTACCACACATCTTTCCCATCATCAACAACCCAGCTGCATTACAGACAGTTGTGAAGATCTTTGGTTTTTTTCTTTTTGAAGAAACCACACAAATATAAATACATATGTGGTTTCTCTAGCTGCATGATTTCTGCCCACAGTAAAGTAAGGTCTTCTACCATATAAAGGCTCCAGAGGAGAGAGCAGGAAATATGTTTTCCTCCAAATCAAAGGGAAATAGGAATGAGACATTGTTACTGATTGTTATAAAAAATAGGAATAAGGCAGAGGGTCTCTATGGTGGATCAGCAAAACGCCTTGCATAACTTGTTTTTACCTGAGCTGCAAATGCTAGCTTTGGATCACTATTCACCTTGAAATGAAATCTCACATGTGTAGCAACCTGAATACCCATCTCACAGAGTCATGAATGCTTAGTCATCTTCCTTCTTATGGAAGACTTTCTAGGTCAATGTTAGGTACCTGATACCTGCTATGAATATCTTAGTGTGGCTCATACCAAGATAATCTGCACAGGTGTATGAATTATGGGCAGAGCCACGCGCCCCTGATGTGATTCACAGATGATCAGTGAATTAGACCAGCAAAGACAGAATCAGGGCCAGAAAGGCTTCAAAGCACTCACTGATTATTCAGAACAAAGGGACCTGTGCACAACAAAGGAAAGGCCTTCTTTTTTTTTTTTTTTTTTTTTGCATAACTGTGCTAGCGGTTGGTAAGAAGATACTGCTCCACTGCCTCCTTCTGTCCCTTCATCCTCTCACTCCCCCCTCCAGGGATAGAGGGATCACATGTGTAACTGCAGGGGGGAAACGCCCTAAGGACAGGGGGAATGTGCACACACACCTGTGGTGCAGGAATGTGTGTGTGTGTGTGTGTGTGTGTGTGTGTGCGTGTGTGTGTGTGTGTGTGTGTGTGTGTGTGCGTGTGTGTGTGTGTGTGTGTGTGTGTGTGTGCGTGTGTGTGTGTGTGTGTGTGTGTGTGTGTGTAATTATGACATCATTACTTATTTGGTGAAGGATTAAAAAAAAAAAAAAAAGACACGTTAAGTGTCTTCAGCAAATGTATATGTAGGAATTTTTTTTTAATATTTAGCTCTGCAGACTTTGAGATATTTGTAAATGCAAACCATAAAAGAGTAAAAGAAGTCGAACATAGTGCAAAAATTAAGCAAATGACTCATTTAGCGCAGGAAGGCAATTTGGAAATAGTTTAAAAGGTTACGGCTCTAGATACACCATCTGACTAACAGAATCTGTTGGGCGTGGTTCATAAGGAATAAAAGTTTTTAGTGCATCAAAGCTACATTGGAAGACAAAATAATTACATTAAAGGTTTTGTTTTTTATAATTTAGTAACAATATATTACACAAATTCCAAATTTATACTTAACAACAAAACATGGTATATATATATATATACTGTATATATATATTTATATATAAAAAGGAAAGGTAGCAAGAAATGCTCAAAGATTTTGGGTATATGCGTACATTTTCTCACAATTTGGCTCAAATAAATATCAAAAGTAAACTGTCATCCAGTTGAAAAATACCAGACTAGGACTCCTTTTTTCAGAAAAGGGCTTCAATAAGAAATTTAAGGAAAAAGCAAAAAGTCAACAACAACAGGACGTAAATATTCCTGGAGTAAAAGAAACTGATAAACACTCCTCTGTGTTAAATCTTTTACATTCCTCAAAACATCGAACCATTGTCCTGTTGAAACTCGATACACTGATGATGCAGCAGAGGAGAATTCATTTCTTAAACACGTGAGTCCTGACAGATAAAATGCTTTTCTTTCAAATATGCAGGGGTTGTGTTGAAACATCCGCCGCATACCGTAGCACCAAAGGCTATTCTGTTCATTTGGATAATAAATTAGGCAATAAGGTTGTAAATAAGTACTGTGAGCACATGAAACAGCTCTCGGTGCATCTGAGGATGTTTTCACAACTGACAATATTTTTTTTTTTGCAATATTCAAATCTCTTACAGAAATTAAAGCTTAAAGGAACCGATATGCTACAGCAGTGCAGCCATGCGTTGGAAGGATGTCGGAGTCACAGCCCGACTGCTCTTCTCCACCCACCAAGTGAGTTGGATCAGTCCGAACAGTCTGCTTGATGAGTGTCTGCTGTGGTTTCAGTTCATCAGCTGCACTGATGGATTGTACCTCCATTGTCTTTTGTTCTTTCGTCTCTGATGAGTACCTGTTTACACCAGACAAATGATCCTGAAATGTTACTATGGCTTCTCTGGTTTTTGCTCTCACTTCTATTTACAGTCTCAGCTGAACATCTTCTCACTTTATTTATATGGCTTTAATAGTCCCGTAAGAGTACATGTTGTAGCACAGTGCAGGAGTTGACTCAAAATTTACAAAATACATGGAAATCTTGGGAGAGTTGGTAAAACACAAAAGTCTTGAAAGCGAGTGCCGGAGAAATAAAAGACAAACATGCAGCATTTCTCTTTTTTTTTGTTTGTTTTTTTTTTCTTTCTTTCAGTGTTCAGCTTTTTTTTTCTTTTTCTTTTTTTTTCTCATCGTCCTCTTTTCTCTTCCTCCCTCACTTCTCCCGCACCCTCTAATTGTCTAGCTGTCAGTCAGTCAATAAGGCCTCCAGACGGACTCATCCAAGCGGCCCGAAGCGCTCATGGCCGTTGGGGAGTTGCTGTGGCTGCCGTCGGCCTCCACGCCCTCGCTCTGGGTGTTCAGGCCCGGGTTCATCAGGCTGTTGGTCCCTCCGGTGCCCCCGGCCCCCGAGCAGGACAGCAGACGGGTGGGGGAGCGCTCGCCCCCGGTGTTCCCCGGCGCCACCATGGAGAACTGGTAGGATCCAGAGCCTGTGCCGTAATACAGGTAGGAGTTGGACTGGAAGTTCTGGGTCTGGTTGTTTGAGTAGGGTGGCGGCAGGTAGGTGTGGTATCTAGAGGAGGCTGACATGCTGAGGCCGCTGATGCCAGTGCTGGAGGTGTTGGCGGAGTAAGGGAAGGCCCCGGGGTAATGCATGCGGGGGTCTGAGAAGCGAGGGTCAGTCAGCGGCGACAGAGATGGGAAGGTGGTCCTCTGTTGGAAGAGATCTGTAGTCCCTGTCGGAAGAAACAAAGAAACAAAAGGTTGGAGAAAGTCAACAAACATTCAGCCATGAATGAAAACTGCTGTTGTGATTATGAAACAAGGGGTTCAGAGATTTCTCATTTTCTATTACTCTAAAAAACAACCCACATCTCAACAAAAGCAAATCTCTCCAAAAGCCCAATTCTGAGCTCAGATTTCTTGCGATACGCCTGTCCATGGAAATGTTTGCTCAAAGTAATGAACTGAGACATTTTTTTGCTTAATAACAGTCATCAAGCACTGACAGCACATCATCCCACAGCCCCGTGCACAAGACTGAAGTTATGAGAAGGCCCCCTCGCCACAGCCCTCCTACCACTCCTTCAAAAAAGAGAGCAACGCACAGTATTCTGTCTCTCTCTGAGCAATGAAAAGAGGCATTGTCAGTGGTGAGGAGTGCTTTGTATAAACACCGATGGCTTGTTGCGCTGTTGTGCAACTCATCATAAATCATACTTGGGCGACAGAGACGGACTGTCACAATCACAGACGGAGAAGGACAATGAAAGGAAAGAGGGTTGGAAAGGAGGCGAGAGGAAAGTGTGTTTCTGTGTGAATATCGTCTAATGTGTATCACAGTCCAGGACCTGTCAGAATTAACTGCTAAGTGTAATCTCACCGGTAACAGAGTACAGTTGGACCCAGCTGTTAGGACTTCAGTTTCACTGCACACTCTCTAATTTATTCAGCTGACAAAAGGGAAATAGAAATATTGCTCGAAGGTTTGACTTGGCAGTTTGCTTCTCTGAGATTTGGGGCCGCTACTGTCACCAACTTAGTTCCTTAAGTCAAACACCATATTGCCCCTCTCACTTAGCTGAAGAGTAGTATTGGCCGATCTCACATCCTGAGCGTTGGATATGAACACGTTCACAGTCCTGCAGTCATGTAGGACTTCTGAACACTGCCTGCTGCCACCTACTACAGCATTTGAGTTTGGACCGTGGTGCAGGGACAGTTACATCTCATGTTTCTGCTGCGTTATACAGTAGAGGTTGGAATTTGTAGATGGTCTCATATCAGTTTTAAGCCACATAGGCCATGCTTAGTAAACCTGCACAGTATTTACCCTCCCTATTGATTTCTCATGTCAGTTTGTATCTTATACATATATATATATGTCACTGAAAGCAACAGTCAGGGTGATCACACACTTTGGCTCCACAAACATTGCATTATAATGCTCAGGTAGGAGCCTTGGCTGACTTGTTAAGCATGTTGAGTCTTTGCACTCATGACACTCAGATATTTTGGAAGACGCTAAGGTGGCTAACGGCCAGGCTGAAATATTCTCCAAATGTAAACGCCCTTAATCTGGTTGTACTCAGTGACTAGGGAGACTTCCTCATACCGTCCTCATAGCTGGTGTCAGCATACAGTACGCTCCATCCACACCTGCCACTTGTACACACACTCCTACACCCACACACACACCTCAGTCCATGGTTATTTGTTTGTCCGCATGTGGCTTTCATGGGTCCAATGTGCCCACATGACTGCAAGTGTAAAATGTGGATTTGGATGGCAGAGAAAAGAGAGCTTGTATTTGTGAAATAGCAAGCGGTTGCACGCCACAGCCCTGAGGGGGGAGAATGCCAAACTTGCGTGCCACAGTCTTGTTCAAATGTCTTTTCCCTATGTCTGAGAACCGGGTCCATTTTCAGTTGAAAAATCTGTTCCTTTGCAATTTCCATGGCCCCTGCAAGACTCTCTCTCTCTTTTTTTCAACAACGCACTTCTGCAGTTGAATTTCCTCTTCTTTTTGGGATGAGGGAGTTTGGTGGTGGTGGGGGGGCTGTTTCTTTTTCCAGAGTCTACCAGGCACTGGAGTCAGGCTCCATATCTGATTTCACGCGAGGAAAATCCAAGCCTTCAGCTGCTGTTGATTCGGGTGAAGTGGAGTCGGCCCACTAATTCCTACCGGACTCCCAAAAAGCCTTTGCTCTCACTCACTCCCTCTCTCTCTCTCTCTCTCTCTCTCTCTCTCTCTCCCGCTCCCTCTCCCCCTCTCTCTCTCTTTCTCTCTCCCTCTCCCTCTCCCCCTCTCTCCCTTCATCTCTCTCTCTGTCTATGCTAAATTTAGGCCTCAGGGTGAAGCTGGGGAGGGGATGTGTGGCGTGGGCACTTGATGTCTCTGGCTGCTGCGGCCCACCCCGCTCATGATCTCCATTTAATTGGAGTCGGTGGAAACGTGTTGGCTAAACTGCGGTGGGGATCGACTCCTGTGTTCTGTCAGCGGAAACTGGACTGGACACTTATCACAACACCTTAATGGGCTTGTGCAGTACCAACCTCTTGGCTGTGAGCCAGAGGAAGCCTGCTACCACCACACACTCTCTACAGTACAGTAGCTCCCTCTGGAGGAGAGGGCTAAACAAACTGTTCTGTAATTGAGAAGCAAAGTTTTACAGTCTGCTTTTTCTCCCTCTTAACCATGTTGCATACCTTACTGCATCCCCACCCTCCCCCACCCAGTATAACTACAGGCTTCACTGTTGTGGCTGTGGTAACAGTGGTGTATCTTTGGCAGAGAGGGTCTTCCTAACTGAGCCTAGTAGTAGCTGCCTGTAACCTCTGCGGCCTAAACCACACATGATCTCCATTAGGCTCATCTGAAACGTGTTGGCTAAATTGCAGGGACAGGAGAGGGGATGGACCCCAGAGGGCTAGCTGGCACAGTCTGCCGTCTGTGATGTTCCCAGTCTATGAAGCGGGTAGCTGGGAATCAGGGTTTTTATAGAGAACATAGTGTTCCAGTGCTCTCTCTTTCTCTTTTCTCCTCTAGCTCTGAAGCTGAGCGCCACACACTTAATTCTGCGGCACCATGGGCGGAGTCGTCCTCCTCCTTTTTGCTTAGCTCAAGAAGTCCACTAGTCCACAGTCAAGCGTGTAACCCAGATATGACGGGAGGTTTGCCTCATTTGCTTATAGGAGAAACTGATTTTGGTTGTTAACATAAGGGCAAGTTTGAGGCGGCCACGTCTGTGTGTATAATTGTGCGCAGGGTTATGTGTGTGTATGCGTGTTTATGCGTGTGTGTCCGCATGTGGTGGCTGGCAATGGGGAGATGCAAATCCAGGCGCTCACCTGTGAAATGTTTACTCAGGCTTGATGCAAACTGTGACGGCCAGTGCTCAGGGAATGGTGTCTCAGGCAAATAAGTGGAGGAAGGGAAAAGGGAGAGAGAAAGCCCCGGGCTCGTCCAGCTACATGTAAAGTCACACTGTGCTGTGTGTTGAGATTGTTTTCTAATCTTCTCCCTCATATCCTCCCCAAACAGACTCTGCTGTGCTTCGGTATGGATGTTATAACTCCTGTCAGAGGTAGAGAGCGTTTGATTTACTGACTGGTTTGGGTGGTTTGAACGGATGTCATGGGATGCCATGAGGATGAGTTGTCACTGTTGATAACAGGGTGATGATGACAAGGCAGCATAATGCCAGGGCAGAGCTGCTGCTGCACAGGCCTAAGAACTAGAGACCCAAATGAACACAAATGATCTCCAGGTGTTTATTTAAGCACCAAGGCTTTGGGGCCGAAACATCATGTTGAATGCAAATGATAATCACCTCTCTACTGTGACACCATGGTCAACAGCCCCAAAGCCTCATCCATGTTCGGCACTTTATCATGTGAGTGCGGAGGATTTTGCATGTCCCCAACTTGTGACGTGCAATACAAGCAAGGCTGAAGGAGGTTTGTTATTACAAAAAACCTGAGATTTTCCTAATGCATCAACAACCAAGGTGACATGATAATAATAATAAGTTTGTTTGTTAAGTAAATCTTTGTCTATGAGAGGCATTGCACTTCCCTGCAAAGCCACTGATGTGATGTGTTTTGCTGACCATAGAGCATGTTATTGTTAATGTGGGGATAAAGGTGTGTATATATATGAATACAAGTATCATTCATTATGTCACATTTTCTTTCTGAAATTTCAAGTTTATGCTTGGATCTCAAACATATCTCATAACATATTTTTACCAAGCATCACTGCCACTCACACCGTCATGACTGTCTTGTGCTGCGCTGAATCTCGCGCTAGAACAGGCCTTACTCACTACTCAGTCAAATTTATATTCTTCAGCTTCAGGCATCGTATCCTATCTGATAAATCGTAGAAAAGAGAGCAAGATCAGTGAGCCAGATCTAAGTCTTTTTCTCTTTTCTTCTATGTGTGTGTGTCTTAATGTCTGTCCTCATCACAGTGTGAGTGGATGACTCAGCGTGTCTGGTGTGGTTGGTGGTGGTTTCTGGGTAGGGGATGGATAGGAGACTATGGGGGCTGTTAGACAGCATAAAAGATCGAAATCACCAAGAAATAAATGAAAGAAAGTGGGAGGGGGGGGGGAAGAAGAAGAAGAGGAAGAAGAAGAGGCAGAGTGGTGGCGTCCTAGGAATGTTCTGGGATGTAGTAGGGCCCTACGGGCAAAACGAAACAGACTCCAAAATTGTCACAGCGAATGGCACACCCTGAGTTATGCCTGCTTTTCCAGCTTCTCCGCTTCAGTACTGTTTGTTTCAAAGGCTCTCAGCATGTCTCTTAATTAAGATAAATGAGCTTGGATATCTTCAGTTTGTTCCGAGATGTCCTTTAAAGATGTGACATTTGAGAGGTGTGAACTATCTTGGCAGTCCAAAGTATCTCAATTATCTCCTCTGTATTTTTCATGCCTGTAATTAAGGCCATTGCTTAGTGACCTCGCCTATAATGCTTCATGTTGATTGGGCCTCACATCATGAGTACATCTTGACAATTAACGAACACCCTTAGAAACAATTTTCTCACACAAAAGCATAGGCATGGACATCAATTCAATTCACATCAAATTTTGGCATCAAATCAAGAGTCGAGCTTTATGAAAGGTGAAGTTTAGTTACACAGAATGCTGTGGCACGGTGAAGTCAGGAAGGTCTTTGAAATGTCTCACCTGGCCATGGTCTCAGGTCCTCCTCTACCTTGCATGTCTTCAGAGCCGGGGTGTCCATTTGCTCCTGCCACAGGGCTGTAACAAAATATGAACAGCAGGTGAACACTAGGATTTCTATCATAAAGAAGTCAGTGGAGATATTTTATTTGTGCAGGAATGCAAAAACTTGTTAAATGCAGTGAAATGTGTGGGTTGTGTGGGTGAGGAAGTCGCTGCCTACGCCATACAAATCTAAAGACTGTTCCAAAAACCCCTCCATGACAGACTTGTCAAAACTGTCTTGACATCTGGCGGTTTGGAGATGTGTCTTCCTGTCACAGGTTGGCCTCTGCTGACTGAGCAGTGAAGACTGGGAAGAGGAGGGGTGGTTTTCTCACCAGAGTGAGACCAGGCTTGGAAAAACATGCTTGATGGGTGCATGGGAGATATTTTTGGGTCTTTCAGGCGAGACACTGGAGAGGCAGCGGAGACCTGTGAAGCGCAGGACACTCACTAGCCTGTCCAGCCAAGCTGTCAGGAAGTGAAGGAGGGTCAAGGACCTACTGGCCCAACGCGTGGGACCCTGCTTCACACTCGACGGCCACACCGCAGGAGGCCTGACACAAACAGGGCCTGTTTGCTCTGGGTCTGAGACGGTGCAGTTGTTACAAGACAACTCGCACGGAGCTCTGTGGACACAGGCAGTCTCAGAACATGGGTTGTACACTGTAACATATTCTTAAAAGTTTTTTTCCTCAAATGCACGTTAATATTTTCATCGTAACAAGAAACTTGCAGTGTATAATCACATTTTTTCTCATGTTGCTCTACTGACAGCAGCAGTCAACCATGTGTTGTCGCTGTGACTCTGCCTTCCGCCGCTGAGATACCGCAATATAGTAAACTCCTAACCTCCTGTAGTGGCAATTAGGATGGAGAAGGATGCCAGAAGCAGGGAGGGGGGGCGGAGCTGGGCTGTTCACCTATAGCCGAACTGGTCTCAGCATGTGTAACATCTTTGCTTCCCCTGGAGCTCCTCCACTTCCTTTGCAAAGGCCCAAATCAGCACTCAGTCAACGAGAGGTCCCGCACTATGCCTCACAATGGCAAATTCTTACACATAAATGGCCTTATTCAGAAAGGCTTGCAAGCAGCTGGTACGATTCGCTCAAGAAAATAAACATCTCCTTCAAATATTTTGATTGGCCAGCAGACAACGTCAATACCAGAGGCACAGATTACCCCTGTTAATAAGAGGACCAACCCCCTGGGTGGAGCTGAGGAGTGGGGAAGGAAGGGGCTGAGATGGGAAGAAGTGGCGACTGCGTCACTAATAAGTAGCTTTGGGGTGGTGCCAGTGCAGTTTTGGGGAGGACACAAATAAACACATGCACTGCTCTTAAAGTGCATGTGTAGATGAAAGGGATGGCTGAGAAGATGTTTGAGCCAAAATGGCGTCCATCCTCGTGACTCCGGATCCAGCAACGCCTCTGAGACATGTAATGCGCCTGCCGTAATGAAGCGTGTCATTGAGACACAGTGAATGCCGGTCCTTGTGCTGGCTTCCTGCGCCGCTTAGGCCTTAGGCGTCGCAACGGGGAGAGAATGTGAGAGAGCAAGCAAGAGAGAAAGAAAGACGCCAGCAAAGGAAGGAGAGAGAAAGAGAGCGTGTTAGAGAGGGGAGGAACACGGCCTTGGCTCAGCTATGTGGGACATTTGATATGTCTTTTGAGCCCTCACTTATAACGTGAGCAAAAACAAACACATGGGCTGAAAAATCCTATGTTCTCTTTGAGAGCTCGTCGTCCTCCCGCCCTTCCCCTCTCTCCAGACTCAATAGAGACTGTTCATGGCACACATGTAGTTTCTGTAATTGCTGAAATGTAAAACTCAGCCTGACTCTGATGTGAAATTATAACTTACACAAACAGTTGAGTCTGGTAAAAAACAACTTGCTCTCACTTCTCTTTTTTTCTTCTTTTTTTTTCCACCAAGGAGGTGGCTTCAAAAAGATTCTTTTTTTTTGTTGGAGAACAGAAACATTTTCAGTTTGAATTATTCATCTCAGGGTCACAAAAAGAGAGTAACCACAAGTGAAGCTTTCAGGCACCATAACAAATAAACTCTGTGGCAGCCATTGACATATTATGTAAATAGTGGAGTGAAGAAGTAAAACAGAGTGTCTAAAGGACTGGTCCAGATTCCTGCTCGATTTGGTTGTATTGGCCTCAGAGGGCCAGCTTCCTGCTTGGGTTTGGCAGAAATCAGCCTGAAACCCAACTAGCGTGACGGCTATACTCAAAAGTCCGCACCACAGCTACCTGACGGTGCTAATTTCCTGTCTCGCTCTTGCTTCTAATTGGCTGATCATGTCATCCTGGATGTGTGAATTAGTGTGAGCGGCAGTAGCAGAGCGCTGCCTCGAACCTGGGGGGCCGGCCAGCTTGTTTATGTGGAGTAAACAGTGTGGTCACTGTGGACGAGGCAGGAGGGGCACGGCTGTGTTGGGCTGGTCCTCCATCAAACAGGACTTTCTCACGTTAAAGTCCAGTCCAGAGGCCACAGCCTGAACATACTGAACAAGAGGGGCACAGCTGCAGCAGATGTGTGCCAGTTGTGCAGGAGGAAGCTGGAGGTACCAACATTTGTGTTGGTGTCATTAATAGAAAAAAAATGCTCCTTTTTTTTTTTTAAGTAGAATTTGCAAGATAAAATGCTGAGTACATTTAAAAATGAAATGTGTAATTTATTATTTCTGCAAGAATCTACTGACGTTTCTAATAAGATCACCACACGGGTCACACACACACACACACACACACACACACACACACACACACACACACACACACACACATTCAGACAGACAGGCACATGTGCACATTCACAAAGACTCACACACACACACTCTTTTGGTCCCTCATCAAAGCGTCGAGCACTTGACTTGATGGCGGAACGTTATGCTAGTATCTGATATTCATCTTCAGAGAGGAACACACAGGTGTTGGAACAAATAACATGTTAAATGATACCACCTCAAAAGTGCCAGGACTTTCTTTTTGGATGATTAAATTGCTGCTGTATTTCTTTTTCCCCCTCTCTCTCACTGTTAAAACACATTTAAGTTAAAAGAGCCGCTTTCGTCTCGGCTGTCTGTTAGAGGCCGTGCCAGGGGCTTGTTGAGTTTTGTCTGCATTTAAAATGGAACAAGGTAAAACTGGGATCTGTTTTCCGCTTTACACTTTGAGGGAAATCAAATTTTCTATCAGCTGTTTGCTTTTCTTAAGGCTGGAAAGAGCTGTGTATAGATTATAAGTGCAGTGGCACGGTTAGATGCTAGAGGACGAACTACATTCTGTATCAGAGAAAGGGGGGAAAAAAAAAAACTGCCACCCACAGACACATATAGTATACACATGTACCTCACTTGAGGTTTTGAAAACCAGAATAACAATTTAGTACTTGATTGTCTGAGTGTCAGATTTGCTTGACTGCACTAGTTGAACCACGCATTTTAAACCACACACACACACACACACTGTCTCCCTCCGCCCTCTCTGAGAATCATTCCACATGTCTAGCAGGCTTACCTGTGGCCACTGAAGAACAAAAACAAGCAGCAAATGCAGCGTCTGCCAGCGTGCAGGGATCCTGTCACTGCATGCACTGTAATGAGCTCTTAATTACCCTGTCTGTCTGGGCCACTAACGGAGAACTTGCAACGCCAGCATGGAATTGTGTATGTGTCTGTGTGTGTGTGTGTATGTTTTGTGTTTTCACTGTGCCTGTGTTGCAATCGTCTGTGCGAGTGATTTAAGAATCCAGGGTAGCGTTGAGCAGATGTCTTAAGACATGTCCTGTTGACAATGAAACTGAGACAGTGTTTCATGGCTCAGACAAACAAAATGAAGCAAGGCGGCTTTAGGAGGAGATGACACTGTATTTTCTTATTTGGTCGTCTTCAACGGGAAATGCAAGGTCCCAGCCCTGGATAATGGAAAACATCTTTTGTAACAGCGAGACGGGAATCCACTTAATTATAACGTGTTGATGGGCGATCTATCACCCAGCAATTCCCAAACAAACAGGCCCCGGGATTTAAAGTATCTGCAAAATACAACAGTGTCTGGCAGGGCTGCCAGAAGCAGAGACGTGTGTGCTGTTGATATGTAAACATCTCGCTGTATCTTTGAATGGGATTTATTACAACAAAGTCTATTTTTGTTGGGGCTTTGCTTGTAATACTGTAGTGTTGTTGTCTGTGCGTGATTCCTACACATACAGGAGCGCTCTGTGAGATTCGCACAGTGACATACATCTCCAGTCTGCCGCTCGGGCACTCCAACAGATAGACGTGGTGGGAGGGAGAAGGGCCCTCTGCTCTGTTATTTAATTATTTTACCACTCTTGCCCTGCGGTATGCCGTCATGATGGTAATACCACAGATTAAGGTGTGTGATTTTTACAGCCCTTCCCCTCCTCTTTCTCACTCGCACACACTTCTTATAGACGGCCTCCAGTCACTGGCAGCTGTAACGTGAAGCTCAAGGCCTTCACAGTCGCTGACAGTTCCAACTGATGTTAATATGTTGTGTCTGCTCACAGTGCATATACTGTACATGTGTGAGTTGCAACATCGCAGCCCTTTGAAGCCTGACAAGCCTATGACGCTCTAATTCCTGCCCTAATCCTGTGCAAGGCAGACGAGAGCACAGCAAAGAGCTGCTCTTCGTCTGCTGTCTGGACCATGTCTGTACACCTCTCCTTGCCGACTGGAGCCCCCCCCCCCTTCATTTTCAAGTCAGCCCTCAGAAACCTAAATCTCCCAGTAAAAGCTTAGCTGCAGGGGGCTTTTTATTGGCAGACAACGTACAGAGCTCATGCCAAACTCTAAACCATCAGAAAATTATCATCACAGTGGCTGTATTGTGTTGAAGCTCCACACTGTTTATTTTCAGCGTAACCGGTCGATGGTGTTTCTAAAATGGCTGACATGTTTTCTGCTCAGCACAGGCTGTGCGAGGGAACAAAATCAACGTCAACAGTAAGTAAGGACATGGGGGGAGCAGGGCAAAAGACCCTGTGTTCTCCACAGTCAGCTGTTAGATAGGACCATACTGGTGACTCAGCGCTGGCTAAGCTAAGCGCAAGGCCAAACACTGCTGTATGACTGTGATACACACTGATAGAGTTCCACCCACACACGGCCCAGCGCTCCCAAACAAGCCCTCCTGTACACAGCAACATGCTGATACAAAGGTAATGAGGTTCATTAGCTAGCATGAGAACTGGAGAGTAGGCGGGAGAGAGGAAAGCTGTGTGTGTGTGTGTGTGTGTGTGTGTGTGTGTGTATATAGTGTGCATGCTTTCATGTCTGGCATCCTGTTAAAGTGGCTCTGACATATGATGGAGAGTGAACACTCATCCTCACTCCGACCATCACCCACGCAGATGTCCACAGCACACACATATGCTTGAAACAACCCCCTCCCCTCCATCGCACCACCTCAGTCTGAGTCTCAGTCTGAGAGTGACGTGATTGCCAAGGTAGCGGGCGGCTGTTACATTCCTGAGGCTGTAGTGTGCGGTGTGCGGAGGCCAGCCTCAGCACCCAGGCCAAGCTCGGCTGGCAGCACCCGCCATGCCACCTGGCCACAGACTCAACCCTGCACTCTGTGGGGCCTGGACCCACCAAGGCAGGGCATCCGGGGACAGAGCTGACATGAGCTTCCCTTCGGACGGCCAACATATATAACAGCTCGCAGATTAGTGGAACAGAACTCAAAGCCCCCCGTAGAGGAAACGCACATGAAGGGCACTTGGCTTAGTTTAATGCTGGGCAAATGGCATGTACTGAGTTGATGTGTAACAGATTTGTCTTACAGATTACTTACCCACTGGCCAAATAAAACTAAATATGTTTGTTTTGTTAAAGTAGGTATTTATTTCTAAGTGATGGTAGTTAAAATGAGTTGTATTTATAGTGTTGTGGTGACGGTGAGGATGTGTTTTGTGGTTGTGTAGATCAGTGGTCCTCACCTTGTGTGGTGCTGAGGTGGGTTTGGTGGATGGGGCGGGGATTATTGTTCACTGGGCCTATTCGCATAGTCCGCTGGTAGCGCTCGATCTCTGACAGCCTGTCCGAGAACTGCATCTTCTGGGGGTCTTCTATCTTCACTCTGTGCCCTGAAACAAGTGACATGAGGAGGACGGGTAAGAGAGGAATCCAGGACTTGCCAATTTTGCCACCTACACAACCAGGAAAATGGCACAAAACGGCACTTTATATTTCCAGAGTTGTACAAAAACAGCAAAAACAACAACAGGAGTCCTTTTGGAAAACTTCTCCTTCTCCCTATTTTAATTAATGGAGCCGGGCAGTTCGACATGTCCTGGCAAAACAACCTCTCTTTGCCTGTCTAAACTGTAATTAATGTGAAATTGACTTGGACTGTGAAGACCATCAATATCCTCCATTGTAATTCACACACACTCACACAGGATGAAATTATATAAGGGAAGAGAGAGAGACACTGTCACCATGTTTTCAGCTTCCAAATACAAAAATATTATTAGAATGTCAGCAGACCTTGAAATACATTGGCTAGACACTAAGTGTTACCCAAGCTGCACCTGTTGCCGCGTCATCAGCAGATAACGACAGCGTAAGTGGGTGAAAATAATTGCTTGAGGAATGTTGTTTTCCCTGAACCTAAAGTCTAAGAAATAATAAACTATAAGTTGTTACATTAGGTGTTTCTGTGAACTGATGAAGGTAAGTGATGTTATCTTGCTTAAAAACCAAGAAGTAGTGCGTAGACACACACACACACACACACACACACACACACACACACACACACACACACACACACACACACACACACAGGTCTGACTGACGGAGCACTTAGTCAGAAGGAAACACCCAGACAAGGCTACCAAACCATGTAGTCATCAGCCTTAAACATAACAGACAGAAAGCGAAAGACTGAAAGGAGTTTTGTAGGTGTGCGTGCGTGCGTGCGTGCGTGTGCGTGCAGGGGGTGAGAATTAACTGAAGCAGATCTGCTGCATCTCTTTTATCTAGACTCGGAAAACTAACCAACGAACTTAGTGCCCTTATCACTTTGACGTCCCCTTCAGGGAGATGGTAAGAAAAAAAAAAACAACCTCTGATCATGCCTTTTGCGTAGACACTCACATGTACGCTTACATGTACGGATACACATGTTCACATGCACACATACGCGCCCACGCTCCACATGTGAACACACCTTAAATGTCAGACGTGAGTCCGGATGAGGGCTTTGCCTCTAATGGGAGGAAGAGATTTTAATGTAACTATCAATGCACCAAAACTGTGTGTGAACCAGCATGTATACATTCTGTGGTTTTCTCCCTGGCATCTCTACAGAGTAGCCTAATGTGAAGTAATGGCTGGATTTGAATATTTTATCACTATATAAAGGGGGCAAGCAGACGGACCAATATGGATTTTGCCCGTCCTTTCTCTCCACTGACCCATGGGCAATATATCTTCCCTCAGAGGCTGACCCATGGGTAAAGTTTCCTCTCGTTTACCGCTCTGTCCATTTGTTTGTGCCCACCACCTCCCCTCCATCCACTCTTTACGAACTACATAGAAATATCTATCTTCGTCGTCACCCCCCCCCACACACACACACACACACACACACCCCCTACCCCCACCCCCAACACACATGCATACAGATACAAACAGGGTACGCAGGCGCACACAGACCATGTCTGACTTCGGACAGCAGAGAGTTTGTTTTCAGTGTCTGTCTGTGTTCAGAGTGCAGCACTGAATACTCAGGTCCTTTTTTTAAATTCACACTCACTGATCAACCGTTGTGTTGCACTTTGCTTGTGTGAGAGAGAGAAAGAGACTCAGTCATGACTAATATGTCTGAGCAGAGACAGCAGTTCTATTGCCACTCTCCAGCTGTTTGTTTTCCCGAGCATTAGGACTTGGGACGCCAAAGTGTGTGTGAGAGTGTGTGTATGTGTGTGTGTGTGCGATTCCATCCACTGGCCTACTAGTTTGCTCCGTGCCGTTACTCAGGAACATATCCTGGGCGGACACACACCCCCTGACACACTCTGTAATATCTTTTTTATTCACGCTCACATGCATGCGGCCAGTGTGCCTTCTCTTTAAACTGTGATGGAAGGAATGAAGGCCAGCGTTTTACTCTCTCACTCACTCCCTCACTCACTCACTCACTCACTCACTCACACACACACACACACACACACACACACACACACACACACACACACACACACACAGAGCGCCAGGTCCAGGCTCCATCAGCCACATAGACACTGTGGCTACTGTCTGTTCCAGGCCAGAGCAGGGGCGGCCAGGGGAAGCAGCCCTCCAAATATAGCCCCTATATGTGTCCTTGTGTAGTTATTAAGAGATTTACACCACCTCAAACGGCTGAGGTCAGGGAAATGATACATCCCACTGCTCTCTGGTTGGAAAAAAAGACAGACAGGCAGGAAAAAAATGATAATTGGTCAGTTTTTCTGTGGCCAGTGGTGGTCTAAGATGAATTGGCTGGCTCTTTAGGGATGAAAGTGATCATTCAACTGCCCACAAACACACACACACACACACACACACACACCTAGCTGTGGATCCTGTGGCCCGGTTCCAGCTGGCAAGGACACCCCACATTTGGCGACACACTGTTCATAGCGTCCAGTAGGGGGTTTAGTGGGCTGTGAGAAGGTGATTTTTTTTTTTTTTTTTTTTTTTTTTTTTTTTAGCGGAGCAGAGGCTTCATTAGAACAAGCAAGGCCTGGAGCTCATTAACCCAGGGCCACACAGTCGCTGTTAACACCACTAATCAACTGGGAGGCAGCTCAAACCTTTCTTTTCCCCTTCTCCTCTCTTTGTCCCTCTGCCTTTATCTCTTGTACTTACTTATAAGGCTATCAGGAGGGCAGCACCCTCGCACTTTAATCTCTCTCATCTTATTTAAGACATTTTGTTTTGATTTATAAATGTAGCTACTAAAAAAGTCAACTTTTTTTCTTTTAATTGCATCTGCGTGAATTTTGCAAGTCACCTTTGTGGCTACCATATGAATGGGGCTAAGACTCTGCGAAACATTAAGAAGCTTGTTATGATAATACCGAATGAAAGAGGAACTACTTAATCATTGTTTTTTTTCATTTAAAAAAAATTGATTCCTGTTTAGTCTAAATTGCACTCGGACTTTGTGTTAAACTGTTTGTTTATCATTAATGTGTATATTTATCTGCCTGTATGTGGTTTTAAATCATGTGACAACCCTATTTTAAACTTTACTTCTTCCCTGCACATTGAGTCTTACTGAAAGGAAACACTGTAGAAAAGTTTTAATGACTGTCTAAATCATCACAGTCAGAGCCAAGGAAACAGAACCTGCATCCTCCAGTTAAACCTCGTGTTAGTACGCTGTCTTTGGCCAGTTGACCCTGACTGTAGCCGCAGTGTGTCCACTCCGACCGCCAACATTTGACTTCTATCTACTCTACAGGGCAGGGGGCCAGAGGGGTGCGAGCGCTCCACACCAGCCCCTTTTCAGAGGGGTTTCTGTGGTCGGATGAATATTTAATGTGTCAGGGTGCACTTAGGAGAGAATGCCCTTGTTTTTCTCTCTATGATATCATAACCACAAGATAGAGCTGGGAGATGGGGGCCAATGCACACATGAGGCCTAAACAGCAGCGCTCAATACGCACCCAGACCCGAAATGGATGCTAAAGGTTGTAGATTTACTAGCCTCCTCTCAGAGTAGCGGTCGCATCATCTGAAAGCATTATGGAAGTCTATGAAGAACGAATAAAATGCTTGATATAAAATGTCTGGTATTAACGATGTACTGAAAGGCGATGGCTGTGTTTTGAAGAAATGGGTGTGCCGTTCTCAGCCCCGCTTTGTTTTCTGCGTGTGTGTGTGTGTGTGTGTGTGTGTGTGTGTGTGTGTGTGTGTGTGTGTGTGTCTCTCTTTATTTCCTGAGAGTGTTTTATCTTCTCTGCAGAATAACTTGAGATGTTGCTTTGCTCTTTTGCCCCAATGCTTTGAGGCACATTGAAATAGGTTCAAGTGTAAGTTATTTGGAAAGCATGAATTTTTTTTTTCTTTTCTTTTTTTTTTTTTCTTCTTCCACGAGATTGCACCCGGTGCTGTGAGACCTGACCACATAAACGGCAAACTACACTGAGCCTTGCCCAGCCTTCCATCCACAAAGCCCGTATCAGGTCAACACAGAGACAGTGTTTGCTCAGTAAGGTGACAGCCAGGCCTTAAACACAGACGCCACAGCTAAATGATCACCCAGCATGACCTGTTTCCTTCCTTCACCCCTCACTTTTTCTCCACTTCTCTCGCTCTCTGTCTGTTTGTCTCTGTCCCCATTGAAAGGAAGAAACATATGTTCCCGTCCAAAGGGAGACACATTAGACACAAGCTCTTTTTAGTGAAGGGCTGGGTGCTTTTTCAGGGGCAAAGTGAAACTCTATCTGGATGGCAAAGGGCAATACGTGCTTTGGCTGCTGCCCAAGTCTGCTCTGAATATATTTGAAGTGTAAATATTTGTATTTGACGTATAAATGGACTTGATAGGCCCCTGATAACAGACTAGAATTGATTTGGAGAGCATGTATCACACTTAACACTGAAAACTATGTCTGGACTGTAAAGTCTATGTAAGTATGGTATAGGATTACATAGAAAAATGTCTGGGTAGTGTAAGGTGCATTTCTGATTCTAATATGAGGGCTACAAAACAGCAGCTGATTGTGATATTTAGCTTTTTAGCTTCTTTACTGTGTTTGTTTTAAATTCAGTTACCACAACTAAAAATGCATCTAGCTCTCCCTTTTGCTCAGGGAAGCCCATGCTGCATGTGTTCATGTAATGAAAGTTGAGTGTTGCAAAGATGTGAACTAAAGAGTGGCATCCTCAGAAAACACAGTGCGATGTGGAGCGACAGTTGAGCATATGTTGCAGCGAGGCCTACTTGCCTACATGCAAACTTCCGTTTGCCCTCAACAGACACTGGAGACGTTTCAACATCTGTTGAGCAAAGCCTTGTACACCTGTCTTCCTCTTCCTCCTCTCTAGCGGACCTGAACCCCCTATGTTCTCGTTCCCACCCTGATTCTTT